CTCCGGAAGTATTCGTCACAGTGCATGTCTCAGTTACACCAGCTTATGAGAAAAGTAAAATTAGTGAGTAAAAAACAAACTGTCAATGTGAACGAGGTAGAGGTCGCAGTTCCACTTGTCCTACCAACCTGTGTTCGTTTCCCTGGTCGCCGCACACATTGTCACTCACCAACGTCTTTTAAGTAACTCTCCTCGCTTAATTTTCCATTCTTCTTCACCGTGAAGCCAATATTCATCACTTTTTAAATCATTTATCTGTTTTGTTGTCCATAATCTTAGTAATTAACACTGTCTTCCTCCGCTGTTAAAGTCAAGGCAACGAGTGGAAACATCTCCACCTCTCTCCTTTCGCCATGATGAAGCAAACTGATTCATTCATAGCTTCACTTAGTGCTTCACGTAGGAATGAAAATGTCCTTACTATATAGCAACATTTGAAAGACTGAGCGGAATTTGAAGTCAGAAATCCTTACCTGTTACAGTGAACCCTCAAGACACCGACAGGGACGAAAAAAAATCCAAGAAATTATGGTTCATTACTTAAGTGGTTTATTAAGGAGCACCTCCCAGTCATCTGGTGCTTCAACAAAAACGCCTGGGTAGCGACGGTGTTGCGCCAGAGTTATATGGTTGGCTGCTTCTCCAAACACCTCAAGGAATACGCTAACAAGCAGAACATTGCGAACAAGTTTCCCCTGATCCTCAATAATGTGCCGTTATAGCGCATTTTTCAGGCCGAGAATTTGGTTATCACGCATTTTCCTCCAGGTGTAATGTTAACCCCTTGGTTCACCTACATCTATTGAGGATAAAATCTTTCACCTACAAATTGACAATAACACATTTGCTGTAATCAGACATATCTAGTTGCCTCAACAATTGCAACCCCAGTTGCAATTTCAAATTGTGTCATTAATAAGGAATAACGAAGTCTTTGGTGCACTCTAAGATTGAGAGAAAACGGAGGACTTAGGCGTCCTGAAGCGAGAGAAAACAGACTCCTATGATGGGCGACTCAAATAAAGAAAGCATAGCTACATGTTTTGTGGACTTCAGTATTGAGCATAGCCTTTTTATCACTTTGTAATAAACCTAGCCATGCCTATGTGTGTTTATGATATTTACCATAACATTATATATATATATATATATATATATATATATATATATATATATATATATATATATATATATATATATATATATATATATATATATATATTTAGTGGGTCTCAAATGGCTCTAGAAATGGGAAACTTTTTTTTTTTTTTTTTTTTTTGGGTTGGGGTGCCTGGAACCTGGGTTTGAACAAATCCCAGGTTCAGGCGCTTGCTATCACGCGCACTCAGCGGGTCCCAATTAGGCGTGGATAACCATGAATGACTGTGTGTGTGTATATATATATATATATATATATATATATATATATATATATATATATATATATATATATATATATATATATATATATATATATATATATATATATATATATATATAATGTATATATATATAAAGTGGTCCCTCGATTAACGAACAGTCCAATTAATGAATTAGCTCCCATAAGGATTTTCAATTCTTTTAACGAACAAAGCTTCGATTAACGAAAGCCTTACGAGAAACACACTTGGTTGTGCACTTCAGCTGAACAGCTAGTCTGACAATACAGTAATTGGTTCTATGTTTATATTCGTTTCCAATGGAGTATAAATATCAAGAAAGTTGTGCTCTTGAATATTTTCACATTTTTAGTATTAAAATTATTGGTTATTCCAATTTAATTAACATATTGATAACATATACAATACAGGGAATAAGTTTTGTGTGCCATACAGTTGATTGAATCACCCACCAACGCTTCTTGGTTTAACTTTGTTTACAGTGGGGTGAACATCCATCTTGTTGGTCTCTTGAATATTTTTGCATTTTTGCATGAAAATTATTGGTCATTCTAAAATTTAGTTCACATATTGATAAAAATACAGTGCAGAAATTAATATGAAACATGAAGAAGGCATTAGAACCAATGGACTGTCAATTGACAATAGTAACATTATAGAATCCAGTCTCATTAAACATACCGAATCAGTCAACATGAATTTGAGTAATGGTATGTACAAACTGGATAATTTCATAATTAAGAAGATTTGTAACCAGGTGAGAAGGTTGGGTCAGCTTACCCTCTGACCTGACTACTGGAGTGCTGCGGTGCTATTTAAAGATTAGTAGGGTCATTACCTAATACCTGACCATTGTGGACCTGATCTCACCCTCCTCTGTATATATACACCTTGTTTTGTACTTCTCCTTAGTCTGTACTCACCACTGAAGATATGAATTACACAAAAGCGCTTGGGAACTTCGTGTTTTCTTCTTTCCTTGTGGTTATCAGCATATACCTGGATCACGCGCACCCACAGTGATTTACTTGCATCTATATATATATATACAGTAATATCCCGATTTACGCGATTCTACATTTACGCGGTACCAGTGGCGTAGCTAGAGTCTGTGCCGCCCGGGGCGGCCGTTGAGTTTGCCGCCCGGGGCGGCCCTTGATTTTGCCGCCCCCACAAAAAATACATATTGCACAGTGACTCACTCTTATATATATATATATATATATTAAATAGTTTGTGTACCATTATAATATTACTGTACTTTCACATACTCAAATATAGTATGCTTTAAATACACACCAAACATACTTAAACTTTATAAGTTTCCTTAATCCTCAACAGGTTACAGGTTGTGTGTGTGGCGGTAGGGGGGGGCGCATAGCAAGGGTGTAGCTCATGACGTGGCCGTGATGATGTGGGTCAGGTGTTAGGTCAGACACGACAAGGATTAACTTGCCGCTGATACAAAGGGATGGATTAACGTCTCCAGTAGCTGCAGATATGGGTGATGAGCACCCAAAAGTGTCAGCCCCAAAGTAGAGCGCCTGGGCGGACTGCCCCCTGCCCCCCGATTACGCTTAGTGTGGGTAATTTGAATTTCAACGCGGTGCATCTACTCATATACGCGGGTGAAGTATAATTTTTATTTAGCTCATAAAATTCATACAAATTACCCGGTCAGAATATAATTTACATTGCTGGAATTCTTGCAAATATTTTATCTTTTGTGCAAAATATATGAAGTTTACATTCAAAATATTCCCTGGCCTGCAAGGAATCCAGAAATGTCAATTATCCTAACTTTAGTCTGAGGTATTATTTATTACTATACATTAAAATCTAGTGTTTCACCCAATCATTTCTCAGAGAGATAGGGGCCAGTGAGCTGGGAAGAGGTGAGTCCACCTGAATGACATCTCTGGCACTGTATTTCTTCTTTAAATATTAATTGTGTGAGCATACCATCATAAAATTAAGATGTTATTTTTACTAACATAGGTACAGTATTGTGTCGGAAAAAGTGGAGTTTGAGTCGGCCGGTCTCTATTGGAATTAATCCCATATGTTCTGTTGTTCACTTGCGGTACCGTGGGTTCAAGAACTCTGTAAATCGAGTACTATATATATATATATATATATATATATATATATATATATATATATATATATATATATATATATATATATATATATATATATATATATATATATATATAATATATAACGTCAATTGAACAGAGGGTCCCGTTAAGTAAACGTGTTAATGAATAACAGAACGGTTAATTCAAACCCCAACTCACTTTGACAAAACATGTTGTAGTAAAAAACATCAATATACCATAAGAAATCATTCACATGACACACACAACTAACAGATGGTCGGTCGGTCCTCCCTCCCCCACCCCACCAACCGTCCCAGGAGATGTGGATAACCTCAAACTAAAGTTAGAAAATATAATTGACATTGCTGGATTCGTAAACCAGGAATATTTTGAATATAAATTATATATTTTCACAAATTCTTACTCAGATTAAACATTTTATCTAAAATTGTATGTTTAATGCAAAAATATGTTGTTTATATTCAAATGATCACCAAATTATAAAATTCAGCAATTAAATTATATTCTCGATAATTTGTATGAATTTTATGAGCTAAAACAAATATCTACAGTTAATAAAAAAAAAATATATTCTTCGACACTATCTGTCAATCAAAGTACCCACCTGCCTCCCCTCTTCCAACCCGCGGTCAGTCCCAACCTCCCCCACCCCCACCATCCTCCATTAAGTTTAACATTTAGTATTAAATAATACCTCAGATTAAAGTTAGGATAATATAATTGACATTGCTGGATTCCTAAGACCAGGAATATTTTGAAATATAAATGTATATTTTGAAAGATAACATACTTACTCAGATTAAACATTTTATCTAAAAATTGTATGTTTAATGCAAAAATATGTTTTTATATTCAAATGATCAAATATAAATTCACAATGTAAATATCTGACCATTTGTAAATTTTATGAGCTAAACAAATATCTTCAGTTAAAAAATAATTCTTACGGTAACAGATGGTCTTCCTCCCCCCCCCCACCACGGAGATGTGGATAACCACAAATTAATATACCCAAACTAAAGTTAGGATAATATAATTGTTGCTGGATTAGACCAGAATATTTTGAATATAATATATATATTTTGACAAAATAAATATATAGATTAAACATTTTATCTAAAAATTGTATTTAATCAAAAAAATTTGTTTATATTCAAAATGATCCAAATTATAAAATTCAGCAATGAAACTATTTGGCGGTAATTTGTATAATTTTGACTAAACAGGCAGTCAGGCAGGGTGGGGTGGTGGTGCGATCTAAAATAGCTCGCGGACCGTTAAATTTAAGGAAAGTTCACTGGCAAGGCACACGTTATAGGCGTTAGCGGGTATATATATATATATATATATATATATATATATATATTATATGGATCGCTACCACCGTGCCACAAGGACAACACGCAGAGGTCCAGGGTTGATTCCCAACTAGTGAGGTACAAGTATTATCATGGAAGTTTTAGTGAAAGGGGAGACAGATCTATAAGCCTTTATGTCAAACTTAGGTGTAGAAGGTGAGGTACAATATTGATGCATTTTGTAACATATTACTGTATTATATTGTAATAATAATGAGGAAAATTAGGTAAAATACAGTCTTACGTTGATTGTTGGAACACATCTTCCAGGCATTACATGAAAATCAATGGACTCATGAAGGCCATTCTTTATCATTTTGCTGTGTGTCATAGTTCTGTGGAGTGTATCCCCAACAAACAATGAAGACTCACTGTAGCTGAGTTTCTAATCATTAATATTATCATGATAACAAAATAGGCAAAATATAGTAACATTCTTGGTGAAGATATCATACAACAAACTTTGCTGTACTGTACAAATTATCTAGATACAGGACAGCCTAGTAACAAACTGAGCAAGAGCTACGGACCGATACAACTGTCATATGATGATAATGTTTATAAAGGGTATAGATAACACACCAATATTATATTTAAATATTGATATACAATAAAATCTTCATATAGTCTCTGTTATATTATACTGTACAACTATCTAGACACATACTATACTGTACTGGCCCTAACACGGCCCCAATGAGTCTTCACCTTCTTCTTTGGCGTACTTCATTGGTTATTATCTTAGCAAACTCTTCAACTGACTCTTCTGAGGAACACTTCCAAAGCATCATCAAGAGACCATTATCCTTGACCAGCTCACTCTGCAGCACCTGCAACACAGAATTTCTCCTTTAGCCTTTTTTCTTTTTGAACAGCCAGACTGGCAATATATTCACCATTACTCAACTCTTTTTTTCCAGTTACAGTAAACAGTAGCCAAATCCATGTTAACCAGAACTCTCCAATACCTGGAAAAGCTCTCTCCATTCCGATTCTGTGAACAAATATCTGAGATTGAAAATAATGCACATTTTCTGAGAAAATTAAAAGAAAATTAATGTAAATCTCTCAATTTTTTTTTTATGGGACATGGAGCAAATTTCAAGGATAAAATACTGGGTAATTCTGGAAAATTCTGAGAAAATTCCAGAAACTCTTTCCAAATTTTCAATTCCGGGCCTGGGAAAATTTTCTGAGGATGATGAAATGCCCAATTTTTTTTTTTTTTTTTTTTTGAGAAAATGACAAGAAAATCTTCCCAAACTTTTCTACACCGGCCCTTGGGACAAAGGTTCCCGGAGAGTCATGATAGATTGCATCATGCTCCCAGGTCCTCCAGTGCTGGGTATGAAGACCACTTGGGTAATGCTTTGATTGGCTAATACTGTCATGTAACCACATGGGATGCCTGTGATAGGCCCGATGCATCCATTGTCTGCAGCCGTTCTACAAGGTTGATCCCTCGTTTGCTCCTGTTTGTACATAAACTTCCATTGTGTAGTACAGTATTGTACATTATTGTACCAGGACACACTCAACCAAGAATACAGTGTTAAAACATTTGTTTAACATACAACACTGTCGATTGATTGAGTGTGGCATTGCAACAGCTTAGGTCTTATGTTGCCAAATTAAAATAAAGGCTCAAAGGACTAAAATCAAATAATGCAAGGTAAAAAAACATAATTAATAAATAACACAGAACTTTGTAAAAAGCATTAAAACATTAATAGATAAACCTCAGAGTTTGGGTAGAAGGCCGGCTTCCTCCATGAAGGAGAGGACGTCCCCTCCCACACTACCCTCTTCCTCCCCCAGCACCAAAGACAGACAGTAAGACCCGTCCCTCCCCCGGCACTGGAAGAGATGCTTACTACAAAGATCTCCGAGACTGGGGCACTCCGTCATGAGGTGTCGAACAGTCAATGGGACCAGGCAATCATAATAATGGGGAGGGGGCACCATACAATACTGTACCAGGACACAATCAGCCAAGAATAGAGTGTCAAAGTAGTGTTAGGAGGTGTCACTCCTGATTTGCCTCTGTCCTTCCTGGAGGGAAAGAACAGTGACAGTACAGCCTGTCACAGCAGATGGTACAGGACAAAGCAAGTCATCCTGCATCATCATATCATCATTTGACCTGTCTGCATCACAAGCTCAAAGTGACAGCATCTGCTGGTGAGTACACTACTCTATAGATATTATTTTGTTGATTTATATTGTGTAAAAATGTATTTTATTTACACTATATTGTATGTGTACAGTGGTGTTTACATAAATAAATACAGCTCTGTATCTGTCCATGCAAGATGCGTAGTTTAGACTCTCGGAAAACATTCCACAGAACCCGAAAACATTCCAGGGATGTGCGACAGTGTCTGTCTGTGCGAGATACATAGCTTAGACTCTTGATAACCTTTCCCGGTACCCAAAATTTTTGGGGGGATGTGGGATTTTTTCTGATGACTCATCTCATTACTTGGAAATCCCTCATCCCCTAATAGCTATGCACCAATCATTCTGGCTAACAGGGATATCACTGTTCTCTACTCCCATACAAGCAATGTTTTGAAGAGTGGAATAATCACATGCCTCATCATCATTGTGAATGATAATCGTGTTATTTCACATTCATATACTATCACTTTACCACTTTATTCGCTTTTCCCAAATTTCAATCACCAGTTAGAACAATCAATACAGCCAATGGCAATTTTACAAATAATGATAAGAGTTGTTTTATTTTATTAAGGATGAGGGAGGAGAGAAGACTGAGGGGAATAAGATGGAAGAAGCAGTGAAGAACAAGGAAGAGGATGATGATAAAAAAAGAAGCAGACAAGAACTTTTAAGTAATCTGGAAACCTAGAAGGAGTCAATAAATGTCCTTCACATCTGTGGATACTGTCCATAACTTCTTGTGAAGAAACCCGTGACCTGAGAGATGAGTTAATATTTTGAGAGGCTGAGCAAGAATGAACTGATCTAACCAATGTAAGTTTTGTATAATCCACAGTTTCTCAAACTTTCTAGAAGAGTAAAGGTAGGTCCCAAAGGTCTGATAGCCTATTACAGGCAGACTGAAAAAAAATAAACTGTATAGTACAAAGTTCAACCCTTTCAACACGTTTACCGCACTTGCTATTTTATTCTGGCTACCGCCAGATGATTTTATTCAGCTTAGAGTAACCTCCCACTGTGAAAGGGTTAATAGTACTGTATACAAGAAGGCAGCACTACTGTTAATGCAGTCAATCATCTTCATTCCTCAACTGTAAAGTAACTACCCATTTAAAAGTGGGTGAACTAGGAGTGCTCTGGCCACACCAATGGTCCTTAGGGCATAAGAACCACTGTATGCACTCTAAAACAAAAAAGTCCAAAGAACAGATGTAATGGATGTATACATCCAATTCTTGTTTGGATCTATACTCCTGGTAAACAGATTGGACTAATATTGTTTCATCTGAAAAGTCAGAGCCCATTATTGACAGAACTGGTGGAGTCTGCCCTCCAGCAAGGAAGAGTCACTGATGGGAATGTCCTAAAATTCTGGTTGTTAGAAACAGAATTTGTTTCTTTGTGATTGATCATTGAACATTGTTTTTTGTGGTTATTGTCCTCCCCTATTCCTTTCTCATGAGCAAACCTTTCCTTTGGAAGCTCCTCCTTGTAATCTCTGAACAAGAAAGAGCTGCTAGTATTAAGTATTTCACTTTAAGGGGTGATACTTCATCCAAAGGAGAATCCTTTCCTGCAACCAGAAGAACTATGCTACCTGATAAGGGAAGCAAGTTCTAAGAGGTGTTAAGTACTGTATTAGCAAGGTCCTTAAGTAGAAATTACTTAAAGAGTCAAAATTCAGAGGGGGATTTACCAAGAAACTTTCCAAAAGTGAACTCTAGTCTTGGTAAATTACCATATCCTGTAATAAACTGCACGCATGACTATAAACTTTTCACAGTTCTAAAGATCAAGGTAATATGTGAGAGACTGAGCAGTGTATATAAGAAAGGTAAGGGAATGTACCATAACAACAGTTTTATCTAAGACTTTCTCAGCAATCTTCTCCAACAACACTTTTGCTTTAGTTGCTTTAGTCTGATAATTACTCTATTTTCATTGAAGGGAAATAATAAAAAAAAAATCCATATTGAATTTGATCATCATGACATATACAAACTCAGGCAAAATCACCTAAAAGAGACTAAGGCCATACTCACTTGACGGCTAAATTCCACAGGATAGAGCGGTCGGCACTTCAAGTTTTTGCTGCCTCGGCTGACATAATGATCCAGCAACAAGCGGTACACAAAACGATTGTACAGTTTCTCTTCCTTGTTAGTGTTGTCATCATCCCGATTTTGAATCTGTAGTAAGAACTTTGGAGACAGGACGGGAACCACGAAATTCACCTGTAAAAAAAAAAAAAAAAATTCACTCTTGCAAGTCAATACATGTATGAAATCATTTCAGATCACCATATCAGCAATGAAGATCTTATTAAGGAATTTAATCCTTCTTGAGACCAAGATGAGGAACTACATGGTGATAAAATTATCCAGCGCCCACCCAAATTTCACATAAAAATTTCAGACACATCTTTACAGGAACAGACCCATATCCTAATGCTGTACAGTGTTAATAATATAAGCGGCTGGTAAAAAATATTAATAAACACAAGTCTTAACCGAGTGCTATCTAGTGTCAAATTATTATCAAAAGAAAGAAAATACTCCAACAATCACGATACAGTATCTAGTTACAGTGTGACCCATCACACCACTAGCCACTCATACTACCTCCAGTCCTCTGTTCTTTTAGATCATTTCTTCACCACACTGTGCCTTTGATTTACAAACATGAAACTTGTAAAATAATTTTAAAATTTTATTTGAGAAAAATAAGAAAAAAAAACATTCAGAAACTGACTCCTAAAAAGGTTAAGACCTTTACAAACATTTATATGAACCACAACAACTTACTACTGGTACTAATATGTACAGTAGTTAAAACAACTATTTGTATCTGTGCAGGTGGGGGTCGATATGCTCCAAAATTTTACGTGTGACTAGTGACAGCTCTCATTTACCAATACTGTATCTATCGTCCATGGTCTCATATTGTTTCCAACAAAGTATGCACAGATAGTTGTTTTAACTACTATACCTAATATAAAAATTAGACTTTTTTCATTAACTGCACTATAAACAATTTCAACTGCATTACTGAAACACAAAATACACTAATCACCATAATCCAGTAATGTGAAGAAAAAAGAGAGAGGATAAAACCTAATTAACAAACAACATTTTCAAAAAGGCCATCAAGTGTCCAGAAGCAAACAAAATGAAACCTGTAAGTATTGTTGAACTCCTCACCTGCTTAAACCACTTGTGGATACTGTTGCAACCTTCAATGGTCAGCTGACGAGCAACTATGTAATTATCTGGATCAGTCAACAACAACACACCAACTTTTCCTCTCGAGGTAAGTGGATTCCTCAGCTGATGTACAACCTGCAACAGTAACACACAAAAAGTTACTATGGAAATGTGGATATATCTAATAAACATCACTTTGACTCAGCATGATACATAAATTAGTGAAAGTGGGTCCTACAGGAGGTGAGTGTTATATCTACTCCTTCATTCCCAATACTAGGTCAGGGTAACTCCCTCTCACAGGAAACCTTCACTTTATGTACAGCAGTGATTAGGTTCCAAGAAAAAAAAAAGTGATACTACAAAAAAAATTAAATTACTTTGGGCTCATGAGAAATAGGGGTTTAGATCCTAGGCTCTCATTAGTTCCCCATGACTGGCTACAGGAATGGCAGATCTTATTATCTGCTGGCCTGTATAAATGTAATCCACTATAATGTAGATGACTTATCTTTAAACTTTCATTGCATCCTATAATAGTATAACCTTTCCATTGATACCAAATTTAAAATTAAAAATTAAAATGTTGTGATGTTTAACCTCTATTTTATTCTTTGATATCTTTCATAGCAGTGAGAGAGGCATGGTGGGGTAGGGTGAGGTGATGGGTATGTTAAGTTATAGCTTGTAAGTCTTCCGTGGTGACAATATCAATACTGAGGCTCAGAGCGAGTGGCCATTCTCTATAGGTAATTCAAACCTTGGGTGAGAAATCAGAGCCACAAATATGGCTGGTAACAATGTAAATTCCACAATGAGATCTTTTAAGCTTGTTCAATAGCCACATAACTGAACTTCCTCAAATCAAGATAAATGTGCAGAGTAGATGGTGGACAAGCAACGAATGCCAACTGGTGAAATTTACCTCCACCAGAGAGACACTAGATAAAACTGTTCATGAGGAAAATAAGAAAAACTACATATATCATCTATATCAGCTAAACTTTCTAACATCAAACAACTGGGATACACATGAAGCAGAAAAATTATTATGTGATTACCGTAGATACACATAAAAACGTTTATGACAAAGACTCATGATGCTGGCAACACTATAAGTTGATCATGAATTTCCTTATGTAAGCTTCAAGTTTTGTTTGATCAACTGTAATAGCACTGTTGATAAAACAATTCAGCAAGTTCCAATAATGACTTTCACATATGCCGACAACACGGCTTCTCCCTACATACAGTGGTTGCTGGTTTAGTTTGCATTGATATACTTTATGACATTTTAAAATTTAACGAAATTTGGCAATTTCTTTATTCTAATTACTGCAGCTAAAGAGTTAGTACTGTAGCGATTTGTGGGTTATAGGTAAGTACCGGGTAAATTTGTCAGGAGGTTTTATAACTGGGGGTTTTAATTTCAGCACTAGTTAATGTAAATTAAAAAACAGATTAAAACATACCCTCATAGCCTCAGTTCTAGCATCTGAAGCAAACACCATCAAGATCTTAGCATCTAGTATTATGCGTGACGGATTTTCTCTTGGGGATGGTGACACCCTGGGACTCGTGGGCTCTCCCTCATCAGCTGAACCCTGTGTCAAGACTTCAATTTTTTGGGTACCCTTCTTGAACAATTCTGTGGACCAACAAAACAAAATATACTGTATACATAATGTGTTTATTTATACACCAGAAAAAAAACATTATTTGTGTTCTGGATTAACCTCTTTGATAATTAATTCCACAGCGACAGTAATATTGTCTAAAACAAGCAACTATAATTAACTTGACCCTCAGCGAGCGGCTACGATTCCCAACTCCGCCCTCGTCAGAACTGGAACACAGGGAATATGAAATGTCCACTGATGATAGCTGCTGTCCCTACAGCTAACTTCCACTAATGATGGTGCCAGTTTAAATGTTAAAGTATTTTCATGGGGGTTTTCAATTTCATTTCTGAGATGGATTTTGGTATTAAAAGTACACACATAATATATATCATAAATTATACACAGTAAAACAGAATGCCATGTTTTGGTGATTGTTCTAAGGTATATATTGTACTGCTGTTATTATACCCTCAGGATAAAAATAAATCAAATCATAATAGCAACATTGGTTGATCAGGCTGTCACACTGACTGACTTCGAGCCAGTAAACATTTTCAGCAAGTAGAGCTGCCAGATTTCACCGCAGCACCAATTATCTTTAGTCTTAAAATGTGGAAAAACGAGTTTAAAAGCATTAGTTAAATTCTCAGGCTGAGTGCAAAAAAGGCGAAAGTCAAGAAATCCAATTTTTCAGGAAAGGCAAGGAAAGATTTCAATTTCTATTATAAAATCAGCCTTTATATATTTGTTTACAAAACAAATGCAGATGGAAGCCCCAGTAGTGGAGAACTTTGCGTGTTAATAGGAGGTCCCTAGTGCAGACGGGAAGTGCTGTACGAGTATCATTCAAATGACTTTGGGTCATTTTGCAATAAGGTGAGATGCAGTTTTGAATACAACTGTACACATTGGTCATTTTTGCAACTAATACTCTGTAACAATGATTATGTTCTTGAATGTTGTAAGTATTCATGATATAGGAAATGAAAAAAAAATTATATTTTCATAAAAAAAATAAAAATAAAAATTTAAGTTAGAACATGATTAAATACTCAATAACCTGTGATATTTAAGCACTAACGAGTTTCTATTAGCTACTAGACATTATATTGAATCTCTATCTCCTGTGGTTCATCATAATTATCACCATCACTCTGAGTCATCTCTCTTTAAGGTTCTGTACAAGAGTTGGCTGCCTTCTGATCTATAAAGAGAGACCCACGAGGTCCTTCACTACTCACAAAACCGAGACTGGGTCATATTGCACTAAAAAGTACTTCACTTAAGGTAATGTTACAACGGGCCAAAGTCAAAATTGGTTCTTTTGGACACTGGTCCTTTTTGCACCCAGCCAGAGAATTATGTGTGAAAGGAAGCGCGGCTGTCTGCCCAGGCCATCAACGGCACATTTGGTAAAAAACTGAAAACTTACAATGTTACTTTTCAGAGACAGAGAGGAGTTCATTCAAACCCCCTCAGCCCATGGCGAGAAGGTTGTGTTGCTTATATTTCTTTCATATAAATTGATTATCTAACAGTTCCTTGCTGACACTCCAGCCAAAATGGCTCAACGACCACTTGAGTTTTCATGTCTATCCTAACAGACCAATAAATCACCTATGCACTTATGAAGGAGAGGGTAGGTGACCTTTATGAAGGAATAACAGCTATGAAAGGCAACGGAGATACTGAGACTAATCCCTACAGTTATCATCATATATTAATGATTTACGAGAACTACATCCTTGTGGTGCTGTAGTGCTGCTCAGAGAAAAAAATCTTCTGGACACTAAACATACAGCAAAGGCCTCAGAAAATTTGAAACAATCTCAATGTCTCCTACTATATAGATTCAGTCCAACTCCTACCAGTCAGAACCATTCAAGAGACAGAATGCTTAGCAATAATTTCCTTCAGCAACTGATTGCAGTAAATCATGTTGTATATTTTCATCCTACATGTGATGGTGCACAACTACTGCTGATCAGGATGTCATTAATAAAATTTGTCATCTTTGCAAAACAGAAAAAAGCACAAGAAAAGATGATTAAAAGAGAAAATAGAAAATATGGGAATTCATGAAAGTAGATTTGCAAATCGTATGTGTATTTGGAGAATGAGAAAAGAATACTGCATAGTCAGAGATTTAATTCACATCTGAAACATTTTGCTATATACTTTTACAGCAGAAATATGAGGACTAAATGTTCAAAACTAATGCACTATCACAATTTTCAGAGAGCCATTACCAATCCCAGATTCTATCTTTCTATGGACTACAGCTTTCAAATTCACTCATCCATCTCATTATCTGCATTCCCCTGGCTCATGCACCCTCAATTTTATTCATTTACACTCTTAGGGTTTTTATACGCAAAATTGTGTATAATCTAAATTATTGCTTTGGGGTTTTCACACACAAATTTGTGTACTGAATAAAGTAAAAAATTAAAATAAAATAATATTTTGTTTGTGTATGAATGCTAGACATGCAAGATGCACATTTGGCAATGTCAGCACGAGTTGGCAACTATGTACTGTAGACTGTACTACTCCTAGGTCACCACACCAGTCTCCCTTTTGTGTTTAAAGGACCCAGTACAGTATATAACTTTGAAACATATTTTTAAATAATTTTCTTGCAGCTTGTGCTGATTTCTCGTGCATCACAGTGATTTAATTTATTAATAACAGTGTTGTGAGAGTTTTGAACCATGTCTCGTGTTGCTGGCGAGGGTGGAGGGGTGTGAGAATATATAAAGTGCAAGGAGATTGTACCACGTGGTGATAGTGTGGTGCCTCCTGATGCCTCTCCCAGTGTTCCTGGCCCTTCCAGCATAAGTGATAGTTTGTCTGGCCCTTCAACAAGCAGTCCTGGTACTACGACTCAATATGTACAATTATCTTTTGTTCATGGAATGAAATTAGAAACAACATACTGTGAGCCAACCAAAATCTCCCCTTTTCATAAAATTATTTCCCTCCAATTCTTGGCACATGAATTGTCAGTCACATATAAACACATTATTATATATCACAACAGTCACTCCCACACACCACTACAATCACCCCTAACACACTACCATCATAACCATCTCTACTCACCTCTCTCACCACAACAATAGTTATCCCCCCACACCACCTCCTTACTCACCCCAACACACGTGGACAAAAGAAAAAAAAGGTGGTAATACAACTAGTGAGATATCAGAGCATTCCACCAATGACACGGAGCAGTATTTCACAAGGCTGTACCAGGTATGGCCTCTGACTGGAAGGGTTAAATTTCAAAAGTACATGAACCCTTACACAGAATCCATAATCCATCATCAATGCCTCCACAAAAGCCACAATATCAAGAGACAGACAAAACAATAATTCATAGGATATTTTACACTATCAATTATGTAAAAGTTTCAGCTACATTTCCTGATATAAGATGGACAAGCAATTCAAGACCACTCTAAGAGATTACATACATGTGTCATTTACAACCTTGATGTTAACATCATTCTTTAACTTTTTTTTCAGGTACAAATCATTTATACTCACTCATGCCTTCTTCCCATGGTACACAATCCAAGACATCATGTTGACCAAGCTCTTCCAGAACCTCCAACACCTCTCTTAGAGTCATATCTTTCTTTTCAGCCTTTTCTTCAAGTCTCCCCAGTACAGCTCTAGTGGGATATCCTCCATTGTGCTTCCAACAGTTCTAATAAATAAAAATAATACTGTAGTGCACATTATTAGACAGGGATGGTGGGTTACATGTTGGCGGGTCAGAAAATTTTTATAAAAGCTGACTTATGGATGTACAGTACTAGGTTGGCTGATTACCAGTGGCGGACCGTGGTTGCACGGATGAGGCATGCAGAACACCCACATACAGTGATATCCCCGTTAGCCAGAACAATTGGTGCAGAGCACTTTTGGGAACGAGAGATTATCGGGTAACGACACGACCTTCCCAAACCATGAAAAATTCTTCATCACCGAAACCTCTTCCGGTTACTGGGAAAAGTTTCCGAGTGTCTAAACTAGACCTCTTGCACAGACGCACACTAGCCCACTTCCCCAGAACGTTTCTGGGTCCTGGAGATGTTTTCCTTGAAACTAAACTACTAGAATACATAAATACAGTTCTAATTAAGTTAGAAACTTCATTTCTTTATTATAATAATCTAGAATAGTTCATCTACAAGTTTGGTTAAATAAATACTGTACGGTATATTTAAAAATTAATAATCTCTAAGATATGGGCATGTATGAAGCTGTGTGTTACAGCAAAGACTGGTATTTTCCACTCCCATGGAGCTGTGGGGGATTAGTGGGTCTTGTGTAACTGACCTGACCTGATGCAATGTCAGGTGGAGGTACGACAGGGGATAAGTAGTCTCATATAACTGATACAATGGAATGTCAGATTACCCTTTCTTGGGTGGAGGATTACAGGGTCTCATGACCTGCAGATGTCTTGAATAAACATGAAAGCTAAAGTACTTTTAGAGAGAAATAAGTATAAATGAGCAAAGTTGTATCCCTTCAACATTACATTACATAATATTTTAAAATATGGAGTGAGAAAGCAGAAAGGTGTGGGTGATTAGAGAGATGGAGTGGAAATGAGTGTTGCCAAGTGCTCCTCAACAGCTGATATTTTACTCGCTACCATACAGTCACACACACACACAAATGTGTCATACAATAAGACCTTCACTCCTTATGTTTGCTGTCTTAATTCCCTTGCTGGGGGTGTGTGAGTGGGGTTGGAATGTGTTTGTGTTTTGAGACCCACTAATCCCCCACCCAAGAAAAGATGACCTGGCATTCAATCAGAAGGTCAGTAATATGAGACCACTAATCCCTCACCCTACCTCCACCTGACATTGAGTCAGGTCAGGTCCCCCCAAAAATACTTTAACTTTCATCTACATTCAAGACATTTTCAGAAAATTCTCTCGATTTTCTTAAATTATATCAGTGGCGTCTGACAAAGCATCTATTATAAATCATTAAATAATTGGTGCAAAAATACTTAAGGCAAATGAATATTAAGCCTTCAGTGTGATCTACAGTAATTTAGAAATAAAGTACAGGTGCTCCTCTACTTACGAACGAGTTACGTTCCTAAAGCTTGTTTGTAAATCCAATTGTTTGTAAGTCCAACTTTACTCTTGTAGAAACCAAACATATTGTAAAAAATTAAAAGATTATGGATATTTAGTACAGCTATACCCTTTAATACAGCCTTAAAATCTGGCTCACTCTTCTCCTCTTAGGTAATGTTTGTTCTATCTGGAATTTTCTTCAAAATAATCCAGTCTCATCCACATTAAACACCTGTTCTGGCAGGTAACCCCCCCCCCCCTCAGTGATGATGTTTGTATCTCTGAAAGTTTGTAAGTTGAATGTTCTTAAGTAGAGGAGCACCTGTAGTTAAAAATAATTACTAGGCATCATGCACAATGCTGGCCCTCTGTAAAGTTGCCAATGATATTATTGCTAAACATATAAATAATTAGAAAACATTTTTATTTACAGTATAGTCTCAGTTTACGCGGTCAATTAAACCCGTGGAGGTCCGCATAAAACAAGAAACGCGTAAACGAAATAACAAAAAATATGGGATTAATTGACTTGTTTCTGGCTTTACGCAGTACTCCACGGGTTCAATTGACCGCGTAAATCCAGACTATACTGTGTGTGTGTGTTTACTAATGTCACCATACTCCCAGATGTCTTTGAGGATATGCTGAGCAAATTCAAATGTAGTATTAATGTATTGTAATAAAACAGAGATTATCATTAGCTATGGTAAGTTAGTTGAGGTTCCCAATTGATATAAAAATTACAGTACTGTACAAGAATTAGTGAACAAGCTTAGTTCTACATTTATACTTACATCCATTAACTTTCATGTAGATCCACAACGGAAACGTGGATGAGATAAATCTTGATAAAATCACAGAGGGAAAAGGGAAGCAATGGAGAACCTTAGCTTTCGTTTTTATTCAAGACATCTTCTGAGGCAACTGAATTACAAAGACTGAAAGAAAGCTTATGTACACAGGGTGACCTTACTAAACATGAGGTCAGGTCAAAAAAACATGGCATCCACTAATCAACACACCAACCACACAGCAAACATAAGAAGAGATTATAAGAATGAGCGACATAACTAGTCATGTCATGTCATGTCAGGTAAAAAATATGAGACCCACTAATCATCTACCATACATCTACCTTACATGCTTTCAAAGCATTTTTAACCTTGGGCCACTGACAAATAAATTTGTGTAACATAGTATCAGTTTTGTACTGACCATCACTAAGGTTTAAAGAATACATTTCTCTAATCAAACTTGCTTCAATCAGAAGTCTTTCTGTGACACATGAAGATTTATACACTTCTAAACTGGTTGCCTCAGAAGATGTCTTGAATAAAAACGAAAGCTAAGGTTCTCTATTGCTTCCTTTTCCCTCTGTGATTTTATCAAGATCCATTATCTTCTGAATTTAAACTCAGAACTATATAGTGTACAGCATATTTACCTTTATTTCCTGGTAAATCAGTCCCAGTTTGTCTGCCAAATGATCCCAAGTAGTATCATCTTCATAAACCTCAAACCAGGTGATGATTTCCTTATTCTTGTATTTAAATTCCCAGAAATTTATATCCGTAGCATCCTTGAACCAATTATATTTCCTGTAATTGTTATTCTAGTTAGTGATGGCTGTACAGTACAGTACTGTTATTCTATATACAGTAGTGGTCTATAATTGATTAACTCACAAATATAATATATAAAGAAAAATATACAACTATCTACCGAGCAGTACATCAACTGATCAATACAGTAGAGTGCTTCTTTCCCCCACTCCCCAGTAAAATATCTCCAGTTCTAAATTATTTGTAAATAAGTACAAGTAGTCCCCACTTAACTGAGAAATAATTAGGTTCCTAAAAAGTCTTCCACTGTGTAAATTCATGTTAACTGGACAAACAAGAAAACAAAACAAAGTACAATTCAGAAATGGCTGAAAAAGACAATACAACAATGAAATTTATTCCTTGTCTATTACTTTTTACAGATTTAATAAATTAGATACTGCATGCTGAAACATTTTGTACTAATTGATAAACTTTGGTTTTGTAAAGTGATTTACTGTATTAGCTTATGTTTACAGATTTTGCAACCTCAATGTATGCATGTTGTTGGGTTCTTTGGTTTACAGTTCTTGCCAGTCACTTAGGCATTTAATCTAACAAAACTTACTTTGGAGGTTATATCCTCTCCATTATCAATCACTGGTAGATTGCCACCACCACCACCCCTTAATCATCAACTACAGTATGTTAGTGATTGCGGAGAAAAAATTAATTTCGAGATTCTCTGTGTTACAAGTCACTTTCTATTCTTTCTCTTAAGCGGTATAATTCTTAAGATATCACAGGATTATGTAAATATCATATTACACTATTTAAATTTATTAACAAAATAAAACTAACATTTATATCAAAAGGAGATGGCTAGTTATGGTGAAAGGTTTCACTATGGAATGCACTTAAGCATACCTCCTAGGTCAATCCCTTAGAAACTCTAAGGGTGCTCTTGCCAGAGTCCACAAGTATTGCAACTAATGTTGGCGAGGACTCAGGGTGTAGAGTGACAATACATATTTCTCGATTAAGTTTGCTCACATTCTCTACTAAACATATAGTTACATCTCTGAGGCACTGCGCCCTCCTAGAAGTATTGCTGACTTGGTACAGCTAGGGCCCTTAATTTATTTTATTTTATTTATTTTTTATTTTTTGTTTTACAGGGAATAGCCCACCCGAGCATAGGTCATCGACTCACAACGGGGCCTAGGGAGCCAAAAAATTCGTGTTCCTGAGGATGTTCTAATGTCGGATTTGTACGTAAGTTGGAACACATGCCATGTGCATACCATACTTACAGAACAATGTTTAAAATCCCACTACAGTAGGGTCAGGATATACTGTATTATTATTAATTATTATTACAGTCAGTCCTCAACCTATGATGGGGTTAGGGACCGACGACCAGGTAGTAAGTCGAAAAGGCGAAAATAATACATAGAAAATCTATTATGGGTGTCTCTTTTTCTTCTCAGCACCGCGAGAACTCTCACTTTTAAGCTTGCCAGCCATTTTAAAGGGAATTACAAACGAAAATTTTGTCAGTACACAGCCCAATCACTAACGTCGGGACTCATAAATACGTAATTTGAAAAATATTTTATATGACTGCAGCGGTCGTATGTCCGGGCGGTCGTAAGTAAAGGAGTACCTGTATTATTATTATTATTATTATTATTATTATTATTATTCTTATTCTTATTATTCTTATTATTATTGTTATTATTATTATTATTATTATTATTATTATTATTATTATTGTTGTTGTTATTATTATTACTTTTAATTAGGGTAATTAAAAAAGGAATTACCCGGTATTGTAAATACTGTATTAAAGTTGGATAACTTGAGATGTTTATCGTCTGCACAGCACCCAATTCTTTGGAGCTAAGCAGTAAACTTTTCTGAACTCTTACAAGCGTTATTATCTTTTAATATCATAACTGCCATACTTAAAATTATTATGATAACAGTGAGCAACATCGACAGTAACACTTAATTGCATCTATCAACGTGAAACGAACACTAGTACAGTACTCAGTTGCCATTTCGTGTCTTTACAACAGTGCTAATATGTGAAGTCAACGGTGTTTTCCCCTCATTTTAAGAGCACTATGACTACAGGAGGTAAATAATCAAGCTATACTATTAGCTACAAACTGAAGGTAATAAACTATGCAAAAGGACCATGGTAACAGAGCTGCAGAAAGGATGTATGGGCCACCACCGACAGAAAAAATTATACGTAAATGGCTAAAACAAGAAAATAAACTTAAGACCACTGGAATGCATAAGCATAACCTTCATTGTCCAAACCCAAAATGGCGAGAACTTGAGGAGGAGGTAAGAAGTTGGGTGGTAAATCAAAGGAATTTAGGTACAGTATACAGTAAGTGTTTCTATGAAAATGATTATCAATGAGGCAAGGAGATTACCGGAAGACCAAGAAATTCCGGATTTTGCAGGTACATCAGGTTGGTATTATAGGTTTAAGGAAAGGCATGGCTTATCAATGCACACTAAAGGCATCTATTGTAAGGTGTTTTAGATGCACGGAATAACTAACGTGTTAGCTTTCTCGGACTGTCATTAAAAAACACAGTAATATCTCCGTAAGCCGGAATCCCTCAAACTCGAAACTCTCCGATAGCTGGAATTGAAATTTTATCAGAAAATTGCCCCCAAAGCCGGAATTTTTTTAGAAAATTCCGGCTTTGGGGACGATTTTCCGAGAAAATTTCAATTCCGGCTATCGGCGAGTTCCGGGGTTGAGAGATTCCAGCTAATGGAGATATTACTGTACAAGTATTGTATATGAAATTCTAGCAAAAATATGTTAAATCTTTTTGTTTTCACAAGACCTAAAAGAACAAAAAAATCACAGCAAATGTTAGAACATATAAAATATGATTTCACATCTCCATTAAGTGCAAAAAACAGTAAACAAAGATAGAAAAAAACAGATTATACATTATCAATTATGACACTGATGGCAAAGTCTCCATAATTTAACTAAATTGCCCAAAGACAGAGGTGGAATTATGGCTGCACTCTTGACATATGCCACTGGTCAACAACTCTAATGCTTGCTCTAAATACATTACGCACAGATTGGGCTGATAATATATTGTACATACTAGTGAAGGCCTTTAAAGCCTCCAATAGAGCACCATACAGTTCTTGTGTTCTGTCCTTAATAATGGCAATGAAGCATTCATTCCTCTTGTTCACCTGTTTCCTTCTCTTCCCCCCATAACTGGATGTTGTTGCTGCTATTGGTGGTGGTGGCACGGGTGATCCTGATGTTGGATCAGTTGATCTAAGTGTTCCTGCTGGTGCAGACGCTGGCATAATTGATGGTGATGTTTGCCTTCTTTCTTGAAGAGGAACTTTTATCTCCACAACTCATGTTTCTGTTTCAATTTTGGCACACACATTGACCTGGTTTGTTTACATTTACCTTGGATAAGGCGTACCAACCCTCTCGTGTTGGGGTGTTCGTGTTACTAAACAGTAACCCGACATTCGGGATTGCTCTTCAGACTTGCTGCCCCGAGTGTTTAAAAAAACGGCCGAATAAGGAAGGTGATGCTACAACCAATACGTACTGTATTTTTGTAAATTGGAGACATGTTAGAGATGTCTAATGGAGGGCCACCAGACTGGTGTCTGCACTACAGCACCTCAGTTACCCAGAGAGATTAGAATTCCTGCAATTGCCTTGCTTATACTATAAGTGGGCAATGGCTGACTTAACTGAAGTTTATAAACATCTCAGAGGGCATTACCATGTTGAGTGTCCATATCTGGTGCTGGCACATGCCTGCCCCATATGGAATCACAGGTCACGGTTGAAGAACTGACACGTTCAGAAAATTTTCGGGACAAACTTTTTTGGAATGAGAATTGTAAACTCTTAGAACGATCTGTCACAGTGTTGTGACGGCACCGAGTATGAGCTCATTCAAGACCAAACTTGACCAACATTGGCACAGTTACAGATACATTCTGGAGCCTGTGCATGCTCAGTACTTGCCAAGAGTGTGTAACAGAGACATGACCAACCACCCAAGCAGCTAACAAGCTGAGGATAAAAGTAAAAAGCACAGTTTAGGAGTGAGTATAAGTTGAGGTTTTGGTTATAAAAAAGAAGAAGTAATATATACAGTCCCAACCAAAACTGTCAAAAAGAAAATCAAAATCAACAATCAGATTTATAATAAACTAAGATAGACTGTACACCATCTTGAAGTGTTTCTTCTGCCTCAACTATGTCAAAATCATCATCCAAGGCATCATGCTCTGAGTAACACAATACTGTACTGTACTGTACTAGACTATACTGTACTGTACTGTACTATACTGTACTGTACTGTACTGTACTTGACTATACTGTACTGTACTGTACTATACTGTACTGTACTGTACTGTACTTACTTCCTCAATTTCTGGAGGTGTCAAGCCATGTCAGTGGCTAATCTGTTGCTCATACTACCACTATGTACTGTAGTAACAACGACATGTTTCATCTCATATGAGTATTAAGTAATCTTGTTGACTATTACTACAAACATCAGACCATAAATCCATAAATAACTAAATATTGTCTTCACCTCATGACTTTGTGAAGAAACATTGAGTTTTCACTACTTCAGTAAATATTTATTGGGAACAATATTTAGATTAATGTTTCAAGACCTTTTGGGGAATAAAATGGTGGCTCAACCTTAATCAGAACATTTTCTATGGTCAAATGTAAAAAAGATTTTCTAAGGGATGCTGAGTGCACACACTCATTGAGGAGGTAGACCAAACACTTGGGGATTGGCTAACAGTTAGTAATCCGGTGTTCGCATATCATGAAAATATCTTCTTTTAGTATGTACTGTATAAGGAAAATATTCCAAACAATATAATGGTACTGCTGTACATTATGAAAACTCTAACTAGGTACTAAATTGATTTGTCAGTGAAATAAAGCTACATTTCATAACTTTCTTCCACTGTGCTGTACTGTACTGTAATGCACACTCTAGTGATGGAACCATGATAAAATCCACCTCTGTAGGAAGAAGGCAAGAAAGTATTCAAAATCTAAAGAAAATTACAAAATGCAAAATAGGTTTGGCAAAATCTTTTACAGTACAATATACGGTACAATACTTACCCAACTTAGCATCACTATCTTTATCTGTCTCTTCCACACTTAATACTTACCCTCGAATCTTTTTTCACCCAACCATCATTTGTCAAATGCTCAATGTGCCTGCTCTCAGTATGATTTCATTTCTAACCATGCCTATATAAGAACACACGGCTTACCACTTTTCTTTGTTTTCTTCCTGATTTCTCTTAATTTCTGCCTCAAGCTCTTCAATGGTGGCAGCAACTTCAGGATCCATTCTGTAAAAAGAAATATCAGAGTTTTCATCAAAATCAGTACAGGCAGTCCCTGAGTTACGAACACCTGCATTTTTTTTAACGGAAATTAGCCCACATTCACCATAAAAGTGTATTAATTAAGATCTCTTTTTTTTTACAATACTTTTATTATTATATATTGTTTAACATCACTTTATTTACAGCATTTACATTAATAGTTATGTATGGAATATACAGTACTGTACCTAGATTTTGCCAAGCCTTTCGACAGTGTACCCCCATGAAAGGTTGATAATTAAATTGGAAGAGCACGGGATTCAGGGGAAATAGCCTAGAATGGATTGGAGACTTTCTGCATGCCCACAAGCAGTGTGTGGTGATAAATGGTACGAAATCGTCATGTGTACCCGTGACAAGAGGGGTACCACAGGGCAGTGTATTGGGCCCGTTGTTGTTTGTTTGCTTCATAAATGATATGCCAGAAACTATACACTACTCTGTCAAGTGCCCTTACCTGGAGCTGGCGGACGCTCGCCCCACAACGGGGTCACAGCTCAAGGCTGAAGAAGCCGCACGTCAAGAAAACTGTGAGGGCAAACTTTTTCGGAGTGAGAGTTGTGAACTCTTGGAACAATCTACCAGAAAGTGTTGTGACGGCACCGAGTGTGAGCTCTTTCAAGACAAGACTTGACCAACACTGGCGCAGGTTCAGGTACATTCAGGAGCCGGTGCATGCCCAGTACCTACCAACAGTGTGTGACAGAGACGTGACCGATCACCCAAGCAGCTAACGAGACGATCAGTGGTGAAGAGGATAAAAGTAAAAGATAAAATGTGTTGATGTCTGCACTGTTTGGGTACAACCGACCCACTCTGTCCAAACACACTCTCACATCTACAAAAAAATAAATATAAAATTACACTGTGACGCTTCAACAAAGATGCTTTCATTGGTACTAGATATCAAAATAAGTAGTTTCTGCTTAATATGATGAGTCCATTCCTTGGCTAGGAAGTTAGCTAAGGTTAGGTAGGTTTCTTTGGTCGGTTAGGTCAGGTTCTATTAGATTCTAGTTAATGTTGCCTCTTTTAAAACACTTATTATAGTGGCAAGAAAATCTATATAAAATGTACAAATCAAACAGCTCTTTCTGGTAGCTCTGTTCTCATACACTGCCTCTTTTGCTAAGATTCGTCTTAGGTCAAAACGGAACTTCATATTTTCATTTATTGGGGAGAATGAGAAAAAAAAAACTTTAATCTATTACATTTCCGTCGCAAATTTATAGTTTTCAAGTATTTTCACCGATATGACTCGCAATTACCAACAATATTGGTTGTTCAAAGTGGGCTGGGCTTTCAAGTAAGGGGAAAATGTGGGTCAAAATGCTAGAAAGAGCACCAAACAAACCTTTGAAAATAAAAATATGAAATCACAAGTACCAGAGGAAAAACTTATTTTTTATGGAAAAATCGAAAACTGGCTACTATCATAATTTGACCCCTTTTTTTCTCTCTATCTTCCTATATACATTACAATATAATGTTTCATGGTTGGTCTTACTGACAATTATCCACCGTTTCAAAATATCTTAAGCTGGGGGATGCAAAAATAGACCTGAACATAGGAATTAAAGGGCTAAACTGAGGAGGTGCAAGAAGGTCCCTGGGGTACTCTTGCCAAAACTTCACATTTCTGTTTTCTATATACGAAGATATAAAATAAGGGTAACGGTATAGTGCAGGAAACTTTGGACGGGACTTTCAACTAGGCTGTATATCTAGATAAATAATAATTACCTACATAATAATCACATTTCATGACAACTTACTTGATAATTTTGTCTTGGGGATTAGCTAGTTCGATGTTAAAATAATACCACTAACAGATCTATTAAATATTTTTTTTATAGTAAAACTGAAGCTTATTTACTTATAAAATCTTAAAACAACGGATTCATCTAATTTATGGTTAGGTTACAGTAGGTTTGGTTGGACTTTATCGAGAATATATTTTTTACTAGTTCGTTGTATTATTTAACATATTGTTCTTACAGTATATTTCAAGGAATGTCCAATGTGGATAGTCTTTCCTTGGTATATACTCAAGAATAAAATTAATTCTCGCAATAAATCATATTTTCTAAAATAACTTCATTGTACTGTGGGAATGGACCCATCTCAACAGTAACCTCAGTGAGATGACTTGACTATAGTTTACTTTTATCCTCCTCGTCACTGATCACCACGTTAGCCACTTAGGCGGCCGCTCAGGTCTCTGTTATGCACTGTTTCTTTAGTACTGGGAATGCACTGGCCGTCAGAACACTCTGATAGGTTATCCCTGTACTGATCTCAATAGTGCATTTCAGTTAACTTACGTCAGCTGATTCATATTACGCTCTATAGTCACTAAAGCTATGACATTTCTTAAGTAACCCACTAAAAGTGTTGTGTTTTCTCTTGTAAGAGGACAATGTCCATTTTCTATACTTCTTTACTTTTATCCTCTTCGCCATTGATCGGCTCGTTAGCCGCCCGGGCGATCGGTCACGTCTCTGTCACGCACTGTTGGCAGTACTGGGCATGCACCGGCTCCTGAATGTACCTGAACCTGCTCCAGTGTTGGTCAAGTCTGGTCTTGAAAGAGCTCACACTCGGTGCCGTCACAACACTCTCTGGTAGATTGTTCCAAGAGTTTACAACTCTCACTCCGAAAAAGTTTGCCTTCACGGTTTTCTGGACTTGCGGCTTCTTCAATCTTGAGCTGTGACCCCTTGTGGGGCGAGCGTCCGCCAGCTCCAAGTAAGGACACTCAACTGAGTAGTGCCCCTTGAGATGCTTATACACCTCAGCTAGGTCGCCCTTTGCCCGTCTGTAGACGTCCCTAAACGTCATCATGATATGAAATATGCAAATTTTAATTTACAATGTAACGTGTATGTGTAGCTGTAAGATATATATTCCTAACTGCTAAGCAAAACCCAAAATTCACTGATCATTCTCCCAGGAGATTACGAGATACCTATTCACCACTTAAGTTATATTTATTTGTCATTTTTGTATTTAAGAAACTTATTAATCATTTGAGAGAAACTGTCAAAGCCCCAGCTGAAGTTGTAGCCTATAGCGTATGAGTGGGCCTCTGTTGAAATTTTGCTGAATACGCTCAGAAGTGCATGCCATCCTACGTCGATGTTTTCAAATTACTTTGTTAATGAACCCCTTTCACCACTTACCAGCGACAAGGTCATATTTACAGAAGCAGTAGATATTTCACAAGTGTCTTCTAATTACCACTAGCTGTCCCGCCAGTCTCTGGTAATTTCCCGACGATCGGTATCAGTGTACAGACAAAACAGCAGGCAGGCAGATCTCCACCAGGTCACAGGATCACACGTATGAATTGTATCACTAAATCTTCACAGAAACTATTCACAGGGTACGTCCTCACAACAGGACTTCTACAGTCAGCACACTACCAGTGTACAATTCTCTTATCACTTCATAATTGCTCAACAATTTCTTAATACTTGAACACCAATTATCTTACTGAGCAGAAACGGGCAACTCCCCCCCAGACCCTCACTGGTCTTTATACACCTCGCCTTAGATGCCTAGAGAATCCTAGCGCCATCTAGGCGCTGCAGGTGATCTAAGAAATTAATGTGAACCCAGGACACTGTTTCTCATAGCCGATGTGTTCCGTAACTGAGACCAATGAATATGTAAGTAAAGTACCATGCGTAGCATGCCTATATATTTAACATGCGATATATGTGCTGCTTTTGTATAGTGTATACGATGACCTCAAGCGGCAAAAGGGGTTCGTAACAATATCATCATAAATATTATTATTATTATTATTATTATTATTACTATTACTATTATTATTATTATTATTATTATTATTATTAAGTTATAAACAAAATTATAACAAATGCCAGCAGTCACCTTATGACCCCGTATGTATGACCAGCTGACCTGGTGGGTTGCATGTGCCTTAGAGTAAGGCTCAGCTTTATTACAAAGATCACTTTGACACCAAAATCAGCCTTCTAGACCTCCGGGAAGTTGTTCTAGGGATGGTTTTAACATCTGACCTTGATACCCTAATTGACCTTGACCTTTAGGGTTCAAAAGTTTTTAATACAGCAAGGTACTACCAATTTCCAGGTTTTATCCTCAGTTGCAGCAAATAAGCAGATTTTTCCCCTAACTATGAATGAGTTAAAGATAATGATGTTCTCAGACCTCCAGTACGATCTTTAGAAAATCTTGGTGGGTATAAAAATACACAATATATCATATGCTAATAGTCTATTGAAAAAAAGACAAATATTGATCAGTTAATTCATCCTTGTGACGAATTATATTATAACTCATCATTTAAATCACCCAGACACTTGTAATAGGTTATTCCCTGTTAACATTTCTCTTATTTTTTTTTCCTTTGGCACTTCTTGTTAGAGGAGCCTTAATTGTACTTCTTAGGAGCCTTAGCACGTCTTCAACTTTTGACACGCCTTCTTGTTCTTGTTACACTTCTTCTTCAATTTTTTGCACTTCCTTTTAGAGCCTCGGCACGTCCTCGACTTTCTGCACGTCTCCTCCGACTTTCTGCACTTCTTTTTATAGCCTCGGCACTTTACGTCGCCCCAGATTTTTGAAGCGATTTGCCTGTAATATGAAAAACACTGTTAGGAACAAGTTTTTTCTTATTTGTCTACCGTGATTAATCCTTGTCTATTACATACATACATACATACATACATACATATCAATGGATAAATCAATTATTGAGTTTAACACAACAAGTAGCCATACTGAACGACGAAGCAGAAATCCTCAAAACAGATGTTGGGGACTCACAATCCTCGTTCTCACAAACTGATAACCAAAGTGGTGGAAGTTATGTCTCACAAACCACCCCTTTACCAGCACCCTTGTTAGATGATCATTATATGTACAGTACACGGACCAGGGAAAATATTTAAGGTCAATATTGAAGCTAAGGGAGGTTGGGCGTTTTTTGATGAACTGTGGTGCGTTCTGAGCATTTCTGAACATGTAAATTTCCCTTAATTCAGCCAGATGAAGGTTTATGAAATTTGTATTTTAAAAATATTAGTAATTTTTGCCTTTAAACTATTTCCAGTGATAATATTTTTTCTGTTCTCACAGGATTTACAAAATTCACAGTAAGTACTATTTTGTACAACAACATTCGGAAAACTGCGAATAATTAAAGGTAGAATTACTTAACTTATCTACAAAGATCTTTTACAGGTAACTGCAACTTACTGAATCTCAGCGAAATCCTCTTCACTGCCCTGGTCAGCCTCAGTGCCCTCATCAGCCTCAGTGCTAGCTTCATCAGCCTCAGTGCCCTCATCAGCCTCAGTGCTAGCTTCATCAGCCTCACTGTCCTCAGGATTCAAGTCGTCTTCGCTTCTTTTTTCATAATTTTCGTGGCTTTCTTCCTCACTGCCATCTTCATCATCTGTGTTGTATTTAACTTTTTTTCCTTTTTTTCCTTTTTTTCCCTTGCCGCCAAAGAAGGATTTCCGCTTGGAAAAGAATCCTCTCTTGTTTGGACTCAAGGCAGTGTTGGTCTCTACCCCGGGAGGCAGTTCGGCACTGATGGTGAAGATATGAACAATTTTATAAACAAAATGTACAGATAAACAACTTGTCTAAGTTAATCTGGGTAAGTGTTTCTTATAAAAATTATTAGATAAACATTTTTCCAAGTAAAGATGAGAAAGCTTATTTTTCCCCGAAATCATGTGAATCAGAGTTCTCACGCTCAGAAACACACACCTACTTAACACCAAGATGAATCACGATCTACTGAAAACTTTCATAGAGCCAGGTAACATACTCACCTGTCCTGGTTGGTCTTGGCAGCGAGTGCTGGGATGGCTGCTCCATCAGGGTCGTCGTCCCGGAGTGCCAGCGCGTTTCTTTCTCCGTCAGGCAGAGCGTCCTTGGCAGGGTCTGAACACACCAGATGGACCTGGTAATTAATTAAATTAATTCATATACAAAACCACAGGTATTCATACAGGTAATCGTACAGTACATGTACCCATGTACTAACAGTAAGAGTACATAAACACTATTTAGGGTCATTGTACAGTATATTAATTGACATTATTATGTTACATGATTTTATATTTATAATTAAAATTTAAGTATTTATATTATTTAAATAAATGTACAACTATTGTGTAAGAAGTGAGTAATGAAATTTAATAATATAATTAATTAATGTTTGGGGTTCAAATTGAAAAATGGTAACATGGCAGCAAAGGAAACACTGGGTGAGAGAGAGAGCACTTTACTCCGGAACTTTCGTCACCGAAGAATTTTATCTAAGTCCATGGCAATGTGTAGTATGAGACTGTGAAGATAAGCTTGGTCTCGCGTCTGCCACACCGCCGTAAAGAGACAGAGAGAGACATCAGTTTGAGACGCCTCATTCCCCACCACAACAACTAACTCACGTTCTTCTCCCGTCATTGATGCCAGCAGTTATGACACGTTATAATAACGTCATTATGACTCGTGTCCAAGGGGGGGGAAAACGGAGTATAGAGTGTAGGAGTATCGTTTTGCCCAACTGTTATTGTAGCTGATGATTAAATACCATAAAGCTACCCGAGTGAGATAGGTTAAGTTAGGTTAGGTTAGTTTAGCTTTAGGTTAGGTTAGGTTTGGTTACGTTAGGTTAGGTTAGGTAAGCATTAAGGTGGTTAATCTTTAGGTCAAGAAACAGAGAGGTAATATTCACATGATCTGAAATTCCTCGAGAAAAAGCAAAATACACGAGGGATAACTAACCAGTGCGAGTAGCAGAAGTAACTTCATAGGTGGCGGCTTCATGTTGGCCTCGTCCACCTGTGTTCACTCCCCCGTCCTCGCTGACTACTGCTGACGCCTGCTCTCCAACGGAATTTGTATAATACCATCTGGATAAGACACGTGGCAGGCCAAAGATGTCCCAGTTGTCAGTTGAGCTTCAATTCCTATTCGCTAAGCTGGATATCACACCCGTAAAGGTCTTATTAGATCAATTTCCGTTCCATCTTATAATCTTGACGTCATACTTGTTTTTCAAGACAAGAAGATGCACGTTATAAGACAGTCATTTTATAAGAATTGTTTTTTGTTAACAGGTACACAGTGTTTGAGGTAGAGTGCAGGTGTGGATCAAGTAATATCCAAAGGCGGGTGGGGGGAACAGGGGGGGTCCAAAAAGTTGTGGGTGGGACATATGGCCAGCGCAGCGAGCCCACCCAACTGGGTATTTTTTTAGGGGGGAGGGGGTCCAGAATTTGTTTTTAAATCTGACCAATATCATGGGCCTTTTGAGGCCATTTTGAAACCATGTGCACTTGTTATTAGGAGATCTTCTGAAGTTAATTGTAAATACTTTTTACTATGCAAAATGCTTGAGTACACTACTGCATTTAAGAAAAAGTATTGTAATTTTCTGGTGAAAAGGGGGGGGGGGCGTCCGGAACCCCAGGACCCCCGTGGATCCGCCCTTGGAGTGTAAGAGACAGAGTGTGTGAGAGTAGAGTGTACTATACTGCCAGACTGGGGTCACTAGTTCTAAGGGGGAATACTTAACTCTAATCTTAATTTCTAAGGGTCGCTGCCACCAGACCCCCTCTGGACAGTATGTAACTCGTTAGGTAGCGGGCAGAGTGGACTAGGCATTGGGTTAGGTTTTTCATTGACCAGATCGATAAGGGGAAAGAAGGGTGAAACCATAACATGTCTTAATTAATTTATTCCTTATAAAGCATACTGGTAAAAAAACATACAAATGAATTGACCTTCCTCAGAAGAACAATGAAAATGTTGGTTACCCCGCTCGGCACCAGACGTCTTACACTAATGGCGTGTCATCCACATACTTATTGCATAACAATCTGTGACCTCCTTACCTCGGTCATTCCTTCTTACACTACCCCTTAACACATCAGACTGCTCCACCTGTATGGAATATAGCACCGTCGGTTATCATACATAGTAGCACAATCTCAACACACCTGTTCACTCCACACCTGCAGGTATGGGACTCCTTGTAATTTTTAGGTATACACAACAGGCACCTCGTTCACACACCGTCCTCAGTGGGTAAAGACGAGGGCTTCACCAAGAGACATACCAGTACTATTTCTACGCCTGGTATTATAGGTCGCTCCAAGTGACGACCGCAGAGTTTCTCACGGTCTCCTTATTTGTTACTACTCATTTGGGGTGGGGTGCTGGGAATCCACAGGTTCACAGTGGATTGGCATAGCTGGGAGTAGTCACCACCTGGTGGGACGCTCACAGGGATAATGGCTGCCGTGCAGCAAGGCACTCCGACCACATGGGACCTGAGATGACGGTAGGACGGAGGGTGCTGAGAAATAATGCCTGACGGGCGGTTATCACACACCCTAACACATTACTATTACACTTATACATCAGGCAAAGTTTTAAACTGTAATAACTTCTATATAATCCTTTTTTACAGGGCGGGATATAGCCTGATAGGAGACACTGACCTGAGATGACGGTAGAACGGAGGGTACTGAGGGCAGTGCCCGCCGTCCACCACAGTGTAGGCCTACAGTTTCCAATCTTTAATTTTTCCTTTTATTTCTTACGGTTCTCACCTGAACCCTTTCCTGTATATTGTAACTCATGCCTTATAAACACATATTTTAATCATAAATTACACACTAAAGTAAGGTTCTAGTTTGCTAGTTCGTGGGTAAATTCATTGGGTTATAATACCAACGCGGCACACCCGAGGCGGCCTAGGCGCCAACCCAAACAAAGCCTAGCATCGTATTTTCATGGCGTGGGTATACAAGATATTCTTTTTGAAGCATAGTTTCTAGGTCACTTCCAACACTTCACATAGTTCTGATACATTTATCCTTTTTCCAGATCATTGTTCTCATGTATTTTCATATGATATCTGTGGAAGTTATGTTCGCTACACGTTCACAGATGTAAATAGTATGACCTTCAAACCATGATCCACACTTAGTCCTACAGTACACCAGTCCGGCTCAACTGGACTTTTCCGATCATCTTATGGATACCCTGAGTTCTCCTTAATGCTATGAATACATACAATTAACATAATATAACCGTACCTGGGTACAATACAACACATGATTCAGTAACATTGAATAGGTGAGTTATCCTTTATCAATGTTTGCCGTTCTTTGAGATTCTACAAGCGCCGTGGATTTGAATGTTATGTAGTGTAATATGGATTAAAGGGGATTTTTAGGAATGACAATGATGTGCGCAGTACAGTACGAGGTAGAATGTGAGAGGCAAAGTTAAGGATGTAATGTATGATAGGTAGAGTGTGAGAGACAGTGTCTTAAGAAAGTTGCAGATAAGTATTATCATGTAACGTGTAGTACATATTGTTAAAACGGATGTTGTATCAGTCAGCTTCTTTTCCTAGGTGTTCACAAGAGAGGATGCTATTAACCTCCCTGCGTTTGAGGACAGACTGTTCGACACAGCACTGACCCACATTGTGTTCACAGAAGAGGGTATTAGAAATAAACGGTCAAAGCTAAAGGTCCATAAGAGTCCCGACCCTGACATGGTGCATCCTAGAGTGCTAAGAGAGTTGAGCAACGAGCTTGCCGAGCCCCTGAAGATCCTGCCTGGATGAACAAAAGGGCCCCAGTGATTGGAAAGTGGCTTATGTGAGTCCTATCTTCAAGAAGGGCGATTGTCACTCAACGAACAACTATAGACCGGTGAGCCTGACCAGAATAATATGTAAAGTACTTGAGAGTATTATCAGAGATGCCGCGATGGAACATCTACTATGAAACAACCTTGTAAAGGATTGCCAACACGGTTTTATACCAGGGCGCTCCTGCTTAACACAATTGCTCAAGGTATTAGATATTTGGACCCATATTCTGAAACGGGGTGGTAATATCGACAATATTTACCTAGATTTTACGAAGGCTTTCGACAGTGTTCACCACGAAAGGCTGAAAATCAAACTGGAAGGGTACGGAATTCGGGGAAATGTCCTAGCGTGGATAGAAGACTTTCTACATGACCGCAAGAAGTGTGTGGTGATTAATGGCACGAAATCATCATCCGTACCTGGAACAAGCGGGGTACCACAGGGCAGTGTATTGGGCCAGCTGTTGTTTGTTTGTTTCATAAATGACATGCCTGACATTGTACACTCTTCCATACAAATATTTGCCGATGACGCTAAGTTATTTCGGGAAATAAAGAAACCAAGCGGACTGTGAAGAGCTCCAAGAATGGTCGAAGGAATGGCTGCTGAGATTCAATGTCACGAAGTGTAAGAGGATGCACCTGGGGCGTACCAACGGTAAGGAGGCGTATCATATGTCCCAACGGGATGAAGAAACTGCACTATTTGAGACTGAATGTGAGAAGGACCTAGGTGTGTATGTTGACAATGAGCTGAAGTTATCGGGCCATTGCGAGAAGAAGGTAAATCACGCATATAAATAATTGGGTCTTATAAGAAGGTCGTTCAGATATCTAGACGGTCCGTCCCTTGTAACGATCTGCAAGAGTGAAGTGCTTCCTCATCTGGAGTACTGTCACCCCGTCTGGTCCCCGAGATATGCTAGGGACTGTCAGTTGGTTGAAAACGTTCAAAGGAGGGCCACCAGACTGGTGCCTGCCCTTCGGCACCTCAGCTACCCTGAGAGATTGGAGCGCCTGAACTTGCCTAGCTTATACAACAGACGGGCAAGGGGTGACCTAGTTGAGGTGTATAAGCATCTCAAGGGGCACTACTCAGTCGAGTGTCCTTACTTGGAGCTGGCTGACGCTCGCCCCACAAGGGGTCACAGCTCAAGATTGAAAAAACCGCAAGTCCAGTAAACTGTGAGGGCAAACTTTTTCGGAGTGAGAGTTGTGAACTCTTGGAACAATTTACCAGAAAGTGTTGTGACGGCACCGAGTGTGAGCTCTTTCAAGACAAGACTTGACCAACACTGGAGCAGGTTCAGGTACATTCAGGAGCCGGTGCATGTCCAGTACTTGCCAACAGTGCGTAACAAAGACGTGACCGATCGTCCAAGCGGCTAACGAGCATATCAGTGGTGAAGAGGATTAAAAAAAAAAAAAAAAAAAGGACTCGACTTCCTTTCATCTGCTAATGACAGCCAGACGTAATCACAAACCTTAAATGAGGCAACCTTAATTAGGTGGTAGTGTTAGTAGACGCCACTTCCAATCGTGAAGTACTTAAACGATTGATTGACAGTGTGGGGGGAACACAGACAGGGGGCGGCGTTGTGCATAGCGTCTTTTGTATCCTGTATAACATACTCCCAGAAGAATCACCTATTTTGGTACTGAAGAGTGTGGCTTCTCCTGCACACTTATCCAACAAGTATAGAGAATAAACAGATACAGACAATGAAAGCTACAAACACATACAGAAAAGGTGTCTGTGTGATAATCTGCCAGTCTTTGAAAATGCATTTAAAGAGGAACAAGAATGGTTGAACCATAATACAATCCCAATTTCACAGGTCCTGCAAAGATGTGTCATGGGCGGGATATTACGCTACACAACCTAGAAATTCAGAGAGCATGCAGTGAAGAAAAGCTTCCAGCGACCAAGGCTTTTCTTCCATTACTTAACGAGAAGGCTAAAGAAACAAATGGAAGCTATCCAAGATGCTCTGTTCCCCATATCAAGCCTTCAGCTGGGCCATACGTGACATTCCTCTACTGAAAACGCCGTCTCTCGAAGATTACGAATGGGAGGACTTAATTACTTGCTCATGGAGCCCTCGGTGGACATCCGAACCACGTCTTGCACCACCTCGGCAGTGCAGATGTAAAAATAAAACATGTAGCTTGTGCACCTGCAGGAAGTCTGCATTCTGCACTTGTTTGTACACTTGCTCTTACAATAAATGAGGACTAATACTTCATGAACGCCTCCTGCTTGATGCAGATTAGGTTTTCTATAGTGTGTGTCATGTTATAGAATCCTAACAATTTTAGCAATTACTGTAATGATGCACCTACGCTTGATTGGTTGTATCAATGTTCCCTCATATAAATATACGTTCAATAAAAACATAATTAAACAATATCTATGTGCCACCATGATATACATTTGGGGCAGGAACAACACAACAGATTTTTACCGTGACCTTGGTCATTATTCAAGGTCACTGTTTAGTTTAGGTTATTAGCAACACCACAATCCCCTTTGTCACCTCATGGCGATTCATATGATAGGTTACACAAAATAGTTTATGCTTAATGCCCTTCTAAGAGTAAGCAGATCCAGCAGTCACCTTATGACCCGGTATGTATGGCCAGCTGACCTGGTGGGTTGCATGTGCCTTAGAGTAAGGCTCAGCTTTATTACAAAGATCACTTTGACACCAAAATCAGCCTTCTAGACCTCCGGGAAGTTGTTCTAGGGATGTTTTTAACATCTGACCTTGATACCCTAATTGACATTGACCTTTAGGGTTCAAAAGTTTTTAATACAGCAAGGTACTACCAATTTCCAGGTTTTATCCTCAGTTGCAGCAAATAAGCAGATTTTTCCCCTAACTATGAATGAGTTAAAGATAATGATGTTCTCAGACCTCCAGTACGATCTTTAGAAAATCTTGGTGGGTATAAAAATACACAATATATCATATGCTAATAGTCTATTGAGAAAAAGACAAATATTGATCAGTTAATTCATCCTTGTGACGAATTATATTATAACTCATCATTTAAATCACCCAGACACTTGTAATAGGTTATTCCCTTTTAACAGTTGGTATTTTTTCTTCGTTTGGGATTTTTTTTCCCCAAATGCTGAAGCCTTGGCACTTCTTGTTGGAGGAGCCTTAATTGTACTTCTTAAAGGCCTTGACACTTCGACTTTTTGCACTTCTTCTTGTTCTTTTTACACTTTTTCTTCAACTTTTTGCACTTCTTTTTAGAGCCTCGGCACCTCTTCGACTTTCTGCACACCTTCTCCGCCTTTTTGCACTTTTTGCACTTCACGTTGTCCCTGGACTTAGAAGCGTATTGCCTGCAACATGAAAATCCATGTCAGCAAACAATTTGCTTTTTATGCATCTACTGTGATTAATCCTTGTCTTTTACATACATACATACATACATACATACATACATACATACATACATACATACTGTTATGCTTGGCGTAATGTATAGCGGTGCGTTGCATTGGGCATAGTTAAATATTTTTTGAGGCATGTTACCCTCAACTTATGTAAATAAAATATTTTGTATAATTATGTGTGAGCAGGGCTGGTACATGTTACATTAAAAATTGTCTGTATGTATGTTTGTATTTTTGCAGCTTAATGTGGGAGTTGTTTAATATTAGTGTTAGGCATGTAGTCCCCTGGGGTATGTCACTGGCTAGCCTTACAAGTAGGAGGACGTCTCAGTTTGTCAGTGGTGGATACCTTCTCAAATAGGGTTTACTAGAGTATTATCTATTTAGTGCTGCTCTATTATTATTTATTTTGTGTAAAGTGCAATCAATAGAAGTGTGGTAAAGCAGTTTATGGTTTATTTACTGTGCATATATTAATGGTTTATTAAGGATTATGTTCATTCTTTATTCCCTTGATTTAATTTATCCGTTCATTATGTAACCTGTACACTTATTCTGGTAAACTTTTATTATTAAATTCTATTTAACTTTTCGAGATGTGTATAATTCCAAACCTTCACTCCTGAACTGTTGTGATGAAGTAAGAGGCTGTGATTAAACTCATGACACAATTTTGTCCTTATTTGAGTTTGTAAGTTTTGCATTTAACATTGTTTGTTGTGTATTGAAGTAATATTAATTTTTAAGCAATAAATATTAAGGACTAAGTTGTGCTGAGTTGCCAATTTGTTTTTTGTTGTGCCATATGTGCCTTCATTATTACTGTATATTCATCTTTAACGTATTTCAAGTTGATAAGTTATGGCATAGCAAAAAATACATACATACTACTACTATTTGCTGTCACTATGAATCGAGTATGACGATCATCCAGCTATAATACAATGGTATGACTTATTTGAGATGTCACCATCATTGGTGAGTTTTGAAGTGACAAAAGAAGCCGATACAGGACCGGGAGAGTTGTTCACAGATGTTGCACACGGGGAGGGCTACACCGAGTGCGGGAGCCCCTTCCGGCGTTGGCGCTTGTCTACCTCGGTTTGCAGTCGAGGGGTGGGGACGATTTGGCATTTCTTCAGGTTTGTCTTAAGACTATCCTTGTACCTTTTCAGTTGCCTGCCAGCATTACATTTACTGTAAAGTAACTGCTTTGGCAGTCTACTCTCATCCATGCGGGTAACATGGCCAGTCCAGCGTAGTTGTTCATGGATAATTGTAGCCTTGATGCTCCTTCAGTTGGTGTCAGCAAGAAAACTGGCATTTGTTCTCTCGTCTTCCCAGCAATCTCAGAGGATGGAACGTAGACTACGTTGGTGAAAGGTTTCAAGTGCCTTGATGTGCCTCCTGTATGTGACCCATGTCTCGCTGCCATATAGCAGGCTGAGGAGGACCACTACTCGATATACGTGTAACTTTGTAGATAATTTCAGACCCGTACAGCTGAAGACACGGTTTCGGAGTCTACCAAAGGCTTGAGATGCACTTCTGATCAGATACTGAATCTCTTCATCGATGTCCATGGTGGTGGACAGGTGAGAGCCGAGAAGCCGAAAGTGGGCAACATTACAGAGGGTAGTACCGTTAAGCTGGATGGATGGTGGAGGTGTGTCTGAACCAGGGGCAGGTTTAAAGAGAATCTGAATCTTACGTACATTCACCCTAAGACTGAACTGTGCATACGCATCTGTGTAGGTGTTCAGGATCTCCTGTAGGTTGCGTTCAGTGTGAGCAACAAGAGTGAAGTCGTCTGCATACTGAAGTTCAGTAATGGAAGCTGTCGACACCTTTGTTCTTGCCTGGAGTCATCTTATATTGAAAAGGCCCTTCACCCGGTACTTGAAGTCCACCCCGCCAGCTAAATTGGCACTGGCACGAGTAAGGAAGGTAGCCAAAAAATGAAAAAGAGAGTTGGTGCCAGTACACACCCTTGTTTAACCCCTGTTTGGATGGGGAAGAACTCAGACTGGGTGCCATTGTGCAGGACACTGCCGTTCATGCCATCGTGGAGTTGCCTCACCATAGCAATGAATTTTTAGGGACCAGCCAAAACGGCTGAGAGTCCACCAGAGGGCTTCCCTGTTGACCGAGTCAAAGGCCTTGGTTAGGTTGATGAAAGTCATATACAAGTCACGGCGCTGTGCTCTGCACTTATCCTGCATCTGGCGGGAAGTAAAGATCATGTTAATGGTGCCACGTGATGGTCTAAGCTAAGGCTACATTAAGATCCTGGGAGGAAGTTTTCCGCCTCAGGAAGACGTCTGTTTAGGAGGACTCGGGCAATAATTTTGCCACCTATGGACAGAAGAAAGATCCTGCTGTAGTTGCCACAGTCTGACTGGTCTACCTTGTTCTTATAAATATTGACGATGGAGGCGTCTTTAAGAGCTTGGGGATTTCCTCCTTTTCCAATAAATTCCCTAAGAGAGAGTGGAGATGGGTGGTAAGCAGAGGTCCTTCTGCTTTATACACCTCGGCTGGGACTCAATTAGGCCCTGAGGCTTTGTTATTTTTCAACTGTTTGATAGCAGTAGCTACCTCATCCAGAGATGGAGGATAGCTGAGGTAGGTCAGCTCTGGATGCTGAGGGACCTGCTGGGTAGTCAGGACATCCACATCAGTGTTTCAGTTGAGCAGTGAATGGTAGTGCTCTTCCCAGTGCTGAAGGAGGTCTTCATTGTCCTTGATTATGAAGTTACCGTTGGATGAGTGGAGGGGGCTACGCCTCTAGTGATTGACCCATAGAATGTTTTGGTAGAATTGAAAAATTCGAGCATCTTGTGCTCACCTGCAAATTTTTGTGTTTCTTTACATTGCGAAGTTCCTGCTGGACCACAGCTTTCTTCTTGCGGAAGGTATCAGCTTTGGTCCAAGACTGAGGGTTGTTCTGCCAGCCAGTAAATGGAGCACGTTTATCATTGGTGAGTGTATTGATTGCCAGGTCATATTTATCAAACCAGTCCTGGTGTATTCCTTCGAGCTGGCCGAGGGTCTCTCTGCAGGATTTTGTCATGACAGTGTTGAGAATATCCCATTTGGCACTGGGATTTGGGTTGTTCGTTGTTGGGTTGTTTATCAGCCCATGTTCGAGCTGCTCTCTAAAAGCATGTGCTGCCGCTAGATTCGCCAGATGCTTAGTGTTAAAACCTCTTCTAGGGGCTTGCTGCCTTCGCCGTTTTGGGGCGATGTGAAGTGAGAGCTCGGTTCTGATGAGCCGATGCTCAGTGTCGCAGAGGTCTGATCCAAGCATGGTTCAGATGATGAGGACATCTCAGTGATCTCTTTCTCTGACAATGATGTAGTCAATGAGATGCCAATGTTTGGATCGTGGGTGTTGCCACGAACCCTTGAACTTGTCGGCCTGCCTAAACAAGGTATTGGTGATAGTGCGGTTGTGTGCAACATACTTGCTAAGGAGGAGTAGGCCATTGGAATTACACTTGCCAAGTCCATTTCTCCCTATGGTTTCCTGCCAAATGTCAGCATCTCTGCCAATTCTGGCATTGAAGTCACCAAGGAGCACAACCTTATCTTCTCTGGGGATACAGGTTAGCACTCTGTCGAGGTCGATGTAAAAGGCCTCCTTGATGTCATTCTCTGCATCCAGTGTTGGAGTGTATGCACTGATGAAAAAGGCATGACGAGAGTGATTTAGTGGGACTGGTAGCCTCGTGAGACGCTCCTCGCTGATCCCAATAAGCATTTCAGTTAGCCTCTGTAGGATGAGTTGGCAGATAGCAAAGCCAACTCCATAAATGCAGTTTATCTCCTGAGCAGGCTTACCCTTCCAGAAGAAGGTATAGCCAGGCCCCCATTCTGTGAGTTGACCCTCGTCTGGGAGCCGGGACTCACTAATGGCTGCTATGTTGATGTTATACCTAACCACCTCTTTTACCACAGGGGCAGTTCTTCTTTCAGGATGCTCATTTGTGACAGTATCCAGGAGGGTCCTGAAATTCCATGCAGTGACCATAAGAGGTGGCATCGTTTGTTTTTGTTTGGATCTGTGATTATGCTTGTTCTTTAGGCAGGCTATGTTTAGGGCACCTTTTCTAGCCCCCTCCCCATGTGGGGTGAGCAGAGTGGCTCCTCGAGAGGGCTGCTCAGTCACACAGACAGAACCGGATTACACTGCTGCCTAGATCCCAGTGTATAAACGACCATCTTATTTATGCCGCCCATGTGCAGAGTTGTGACTAGAGACTCCCGGCAGTCATCTCTGCCTGTCCCCGTCACCACTCGTCCGTCGCCATACGACTATAGGGGGTATAGGGGTTTTGATGATGATGATAAGTATGATGAGCTGGAAGATGGCTGCTCGTGAGATGATTTATGTGGTGACGCAGAAGCGCATGCTACAACCACACATCTTGGCTCTCCTTTTTCCTGATCTACATACATACATACATACATATCAATGGATAAATCAATTATTGAGTTTAACACAACAAGTAGCCATACTGAACGACGAAGCAGAAATCCTCAAAACAGATGTTGAGGACTCACAATCTTCGTTCTCACAAACTGATAACCAAAGTGGTGGAAGTTATGTCTCACAAACCACCCCTTTACCAGCACCCTTGTTAGATGATCATTATATGTACAGTACACGGACCAGGGAACATATTTAAGGTCAATATTGAAGCTAAGGGAGGTTGGGCGTTTTTTGATGAACTGTGGTGCGTTCTGAGCATCTCTGAACACGTAAATTTCCCTTAATTCAGCCAGATGAAGGTTTATGAAATTTGAATTTTAAAAATATTAGTAATTTTTGCCTTTAAATTATTTCCAGTGATAATATTTTTTCTGTTCTCACAGGATTTACAAAATTCACCGTAAGTACTATTTTGTACAACAACATTCGGAAAACTGCGAATAATTAATGGTAGAATTACTTAACTTATCTACAAAGATCTTTTACAGGTAACTGCAACTTACTGATTCTCAGCTAAATCCTCTTCACTGCCCTGGTCAGCCTCAGTGCCCTCATCAGCCTCAGTGCTAGCTTCATCAGCCTCAGTGCCCTCATCAGCCTCAGTGCTAGCTTCATCAGCCTCACTGTTCTCAGGATTCAAGTCGTCTTCGCTTCTTTTTTCATAATTTTCGTGGCTTTCTTCCTCACTGCCATCTTCATCATCTGTGTTGTATTTAATTTTTTTTCCTTTTCTTCCCTTTTTTCTTCCCTTGCGGCGAAAGAAGGATTTCAGCTTGGAAAAGAATCCTCTTTTGTCTGGACTCAAGGCAGTGTTGGTCTCTACCCCGGGAGGCAGTTCGGCACTGATGGTGAAGATATGAACAATTTTATTAACAAAATGTACAGATAAACAACTTGTCTAAGTTAATCTGGGTAACTGTTTCTTATAAAAATTATTAGATAAACATTTTTCCAAGTAAAGATGAGAAAGCTTATTTTTCCCCGAAATCATGTGAATCAGAGTTCTCACGCTCAGAAACACACACCTACTTAACACCAAGATGAATCACGATCTACTGAAAACTTTCATAGAGCCAGGTAACATACTCACCTGTCCTGGTTGGTCTTGGCAGCGAGTGCTGGGATGGCTGCTCCATCAGGGTCGTCGTCCCGGAGTGCCAGCGCGTTTCTTTCTCCGTCAGGCAGAGCGTCCTTGGCAGGGTCTGAACACACCAGATGGACCTGGTAATTAATTAAATTAATTCATATCCAAAACCACAGGTATTCATACAGGTAATCGTACAGTACATGTACCCATGTACTAACAGTAAGAGTACATAAACACTATTTAGGGTCATTGTACAGTATATTAATTGACATTATTATGTTACATGATTTTATATTTATAATTAAAATTTAAGTATTTATATTATTTAAATAAATGTACAACTATTGTGTAAGAAGTGAGTAATGAAATTTAATAATATAATTAATTAATGTTTGGGGTTCAAATTGAAAAATGGTAACATGGCAGCAAAGGAAACACTGGGTGAGAGAGAGAGCACTTTACTCCGGAACTTTCGTCACCGAAGAATTTTATCTAAGTCCATGGCGAAATGTTTTCTCTCTAACCCTATGTTTGGTTAGGTTAGGTTAGTTTAGCTTTAGGTTAGGTTAGGTTTGGTTTGGTTACGTTAGGTTAGGCTAGCATTAGGGTGGTTAATCTTTAGGTCAAGAAACAGAGAGGTAATATTCACATGATCTGAAATTCCTCGAGAAAAAGCAAAATACACGAGGGATAACTAACCAGTGCGAGTAGCAGAAGTAACTTCATAGGTGGCGGCTTCATGTTGGTCTCGTCCGACTGTGTTCACTCCCCCGTCCTCGCTGACTACTGCTGACGCCTGCTCTCCAACGGAATTTATATACTGTACTCTCTGGATAAGACACGTGGCAGGCCGAAAATGTCCCAGTCGTCAGTTGCGCTTAAATTCCTATTCGCTAAGCTGGATATCACACCCTTAAAGGTCTTATTAGAACAACTTCCTTTCCACCAAATAATTTTATCGTCATACTTGTTTATTTTTAAGACAAAGACAAGAAAGTTGGGGTAATAAAACAATAATTTTATATGAATTACTTTTTGTGTACAGGTAGACAACGTGAGAGGCAAAATGTGAGATGTAAGGACCTAGGTGTGTATGTTGACAATGAGCTGAAGTTCTCGGGCCATTGCAAGGGACTGTCAGTTGGTTGAAAATGTTCAAAGGAGGGCCACCAGACTGGTGCCTGCACTTCGGCACCTCAGCTACCCTGAGAGATTGGAGCGCCTGAACTTGCCTAGCTTATATTACATACGGGCAAGGGATGACCTAGTTGAGGTGTATAAGCATCTCAAGGGGCACTACTCAGTCGAGTGTCCTTACTTGGAGCTGGCGGACGCTCGCCCCACAAGGGGTCACAGCTCAAGATTGAAGAAGCCGCAAGTCCAGAAAATTGTGAGGGCAAACTTTTTTGGAGTGAGAGTTGTAAACTCTTGGAACAATCTACCAGAAAGTGTTGTGACGGCACCGAGTGTGAGCTCTTTCAAGACAAGACTTGACCAACACTAGAGCGGGTTCAGGTTACATTCAGGAGCCGGTGCATGCCCAGTATTTGCCAACAGTGCGTGACAAAGACGTGACCGATCGCCCAAACGGCTAACGAGCCGATCATTGGCGAAGAGGATAAATGTAAAAAAGTGTAGGGTGGGAGAGTGAGACAACGACCCAGACTGTGCCTCGCCCAACAGTCACCACACGAGAAGGTGTCATTACTTTCGAGTTAGCCCGACTGCAAACCGAGGCAGACAAGCGCCAGCGCCGGAAAGATGTTGCCGCTGCCCCTCCCGCACTAGATGGAGCTCTCCACATGTGCAACATCTGTGAACGACTCTGCCGGTTCCGTATCGGCCTCTTTAGTCACCTCAAAACTCACCAACCTAGGAGACATTCCTAATAACTCATATCATTGTATTATAGCTGGATGATCTTCATACTCGATTCCGAGTGACAGCAAAGTAGTAGTAGTAGTAGTACACTCACACACTTCTCACCCACATTTCAAAATAAATTCCTACAACTCATGGGTAGCCTGGATTCTAAAATATGTCCGTCCACGTCAATCTTGGGGAGGCGAAAGGAAAGGAATTCTTTCTTGATTTTATGGTGTTGGAAGGGAAGCCAGCTGATGCTCTAACAGAACAAATCATTAACAAGCTGCAAGAAGACGGCCTTCTTGTCATGAACCTTCGTGGTCAGGACGGCTGGGGTTTACAGTTATGTTCAAAGGTGAATCACTGATATAAATACAAAGGCTGCCTTCATTTAATGTACCAGCCAACCAGTCACTGATTTGGGCTGTTGCCATCACTGTCGAGCAACTGTCCGAATTTTTCTCCGTTTCAACTTCCATCAGTTAGTACAAGGGAAGACGATGAAGAGAGTTATTGAAACTAAATGGATCGCCAAACATGAAGCAGTATATGCTGTATGTTCTCAACTTCAGGGTGTGGCAATTTTTTTGCTATAAAAAGTTAATGAACAACGTTAATGCTATGAATGGCACATGGTTGGAAACCACAGTGATCCGAAATTACGCTGTGACATAACACATCTGACAAATGGGCCATGATGGAGGTAGACAAGTGAAGTGGGGTGTAAGGTGAAGCGGGGTTTAGGAAAAGGGGAGCGTGAAGGGAGGAAGGGAGGTGAGGGTTGAGGGGGGGTGGGGGAAGATGGAGGGTGAAGGAGCATGATGGAGCCACGAGCCACCTCGCTCCCCAGATTTGACGTCCCCAGGTTTTTTCTCTTTGGGATTTCTGAAGAGCGAGGTTTTTAAGACACGCCCCACATGTATCGGCGAATTGAAGGCAAACATCACTACAATCATTAGCACTATTGATCAAGACACATTGCATAAAGTATACTGATCCTCGGTCCGGAATGCAACAATTCTAATGCGGCTCATTTGTCAGATGTAATTTTTAGGAACTAAACTGTGTTATATCACAGCATAATCTCGGATCACTGTGCTTTTTCAACAATGTGCTACACATAGCATTTATGCTGTTCATTAACTTTTTAGGAACTAATAAATGTGTCAGATATAAATGCCACACTGTACATGAAACATTCAAGCTCTGGAGCATCTTCGTGATGGTAACACCGAGACACAGCGATCAAATGTACCTGTTGTATTTTACGAGATGATCACCTACAGTTTCTCTATATTCTTTTGTAAGCCAGTGTTAACAGATTGTTGACACCCATAAATACTTTAGACAGCTGGGCTCTGTTTTTTTTGTTTTGTTTTTTTACGGGAATTAGCCCACCCGGGCACAGGTCACTGACCCACATCAGGGCCTGGGGGTATACTGTAGAGTTATCATGTCAAAATGGCAATGCTGAATTTTGGAGGAATCAAAACAACAGCTGGATTAAAACAAATAAGGACAACAATAACATTTATGAAAGAAGCAAACTTGTTTAATGTGCACAATAGTACAGTATTTTCATCAACCAACCACACACACACACACACACACACACACACACACACGTAAGTCATGCCTGCAATGTATGCCAAGAAGTTTCTCTGCGATATTTATTGATCTAACAGTGAAACAGAAGGCTACACCCCTGCTTGAGACACTATAGAGACTCGTCATTTTAGACCTAGTAGTAAGACGAGGGTGGGAGGCTCTCTGTGTCTTTATGGTGTATTAATATTTGTAGTAGAAAAGTGAATAAACATCTGGTGGCGCAAGTCCCGTTAGTTCTTATCTTGGATCCTATCTTGTAACACGTCCGCTCTTCACCTCGGCTATCTGCCTCGCTTTCCGAGTCTCCTGGATGTTACTCTTTTGATATTGTTATCTGTCTTCCTGTGTGTACTCCTGCTGTAATCATGAACCGTTTCTTCGTATTTTTCTCCAGCTTTAATCACCAATCTCTTCTCCGTATATGTGTGTATTTTACGTGTAGGATTATTTTATATCACACTGGCTTCAGGACTCCCTCTGTCCTCACATTTTCCTCGTTCTCTCCTAAGTCGTAATTCCGGATGCTTGTCTGAGTATAGTGCTATAGTTGCCAGTGCGTTTTTTTGGGGGGAGGAGGGGAGGGTTAAGGAGGTTGGTCACCTGAAGATTAGTCCCATAACCTAACACCATCCTAACCTTGCCTAGCCTAACCTTACCTAACATTAGGGGATATTGCTTGGTAGCACAGCGTTAAGGTGCGTATCTCTCACAAATATGTTGTGGGTTCGAGTCCTGCTTGGTTTGAAACGATGATAATACTAGTTCACCAAGTGATGTAGTAGGCTTTTCTAATGATCTACTGTAGTGTGCTCAATCAGGACGGAAGCCACATTTTTTATCATTGGTAAGTTATTGTTTTCTAAAAAAGATCATTAGCCTACGTTTTGTCATTATTTCCATGACTTTAGACAGACAATTCGTGAACGCTATAGGTCTCAACGAACTTTGGTTCGTAGGGTAGCCACACCTTTTAGGAATAGGTACGACATGCACCCTCGACGCCCATAACTCGTTGAAGACTCCTTGCACCCTGAACAGGTCAGCCCTGCTCATGTGCTCCAACATGTCGTATGTGATCCCATTCGGTCCAGGACTGATACCATCATAGAATTTCAAAGCATGATCGAGTTCGTCTTCAGAAAACTCACGGTTATAGTCCTGCCCCCACCAGCTCTCTCTCTCTCCTATTCAGGGGAGCTGCTAACTTTCACGAACTGGTGGGCTAAACAGGTAGCAATGTCTTGGGAATTGTCCGGAATCCGTCCCTCACTCAAAGTTGAGGGATAGAAACACTCATCTTCTGTCCCCTCGCCCGACCACACTTCAGAGGAAGGAGTTTCTTTGTTGACAGTTTAGACGGATTCTTGCCAGGATTTGCGTTTGCCTTTCTTGACGATTCTTCGCGCTTGAGCCCTGGCTTTTTTACATTTTACCAGATTACTCTGGGTAGGGGTTCAGTTGAATAATTCTGTACCTTCTATTGCGTTCTCGAATCGCTTGTTTGCAATCTTCGGTCCACCATGGAACTTCAGGCCAACCATGAGTAGTAAAAACTTCGGAATTTATTCTCTGGTCACATTAATAATTGAGTAATCTAAGTGTTTAATTTTAGTGTTTCTGTCTGCATCCGGGCAGTCAACGGCGGCTTCCCTTATGAATAACCCCCAATCTGCCTCCCTGTAATTAAATTGACATTTCGGAGCTGCATCCGGCACGCCGATTTCATAAGAAATGCAAATCGGGAAATGGTCGCTTCCCAAGGGGGTCGGTGTAGACTTCTCATTAAGTGTCAGGGTATAAAATCCCCCGTAATGAGGCTCTTTTGGGCAACTGCCTTATCCACATCTAGGAGCCTCACAGAAGGGGTATAGAGGGAAAACAAACTACCTAAGTTGTGCCAAGCTTCACCCCACTGTTTAGCACAATCTGTCTGAGACAGACGCTAATGGACGTAAAGAGCGACGCCTCTTCCATTACCTTTTCTGTATGACGTATAGTTCCAGAAGATGGGAGGCTCTTCCTCCCACTCCAAGAGTCTCTCTTGTTGACAGAAGATGTCTGGCACGCGTATCGAATTCAAAAGCGCAGTTTGTGCGTGTTCATTCTGAGCACATGTATAATTCCTCAGTAAAAGTGAATGTTGCGGTTTAAGAGTTCCCCGGGGCAGTGTTCGTCTCCTGTTTGAGAGAATTCTTAGTTATGTGGGTTGGAGGGGGAGCTCTTCTGCGGCCACACTCTTGTGAATAGCTGACCTCCATGTTGTCATCAGACCACATCGAGGAACGGCTATGAGAGAAGCATCTCTCTCACGAGTGAGGTACTCCACCTC